GAACTAGGCAAGGAAAGGGAAAATATCCAAACGTGGGGAGAGGGGTTCTGTAAGACACTGGCTCCAAGCCATGGCCATTTTCTGGGGACAACAGAAAAGTACGCAACCTGTCAACCAATGGGGATGATTACTAAACCAAATTTGCACCAGAGTAAACACACTGGAACCTCAAAGGCAACCAAGGATTATTTTGAGTGAAGAGCTGAAATGGATATGTTTTTGAAATAGGCATCGCTCCCACACTGGCGCTCTGATGTGTGGGGTGAGAGCAACAGAATAGGACAGGACAAGTACAAGCCATTGGAATCCCCCTCTCTACCGAAACGGTAAATCGAAAGCAGGACCGCATTCCTAGGGGCAATGTAGAAATTAGTGTAGCTATCAAAACCTTGAGGGGGAAGTCATAGCAATGCCTACCACAGGTCAGCTGGGCCAGTGCAAAACACCGAGAGGTCTCCGGATTGCCTCAAGTTTTAAAAAGTGACGTCTCCAATGGCAGGTGCTGTTCCAGAGACGGTCTTCCTGCTAAAGCAAGTTCATCCAGCACTTGGTATGAATCCTTTGATCTAGTGAATTCATGTTTTTCTTCTACTTTGATGAACAAAGAACGTCAGAAACGATTCATCTTCACTTGGCCTGGGGTATATTGCTCTGCTGTCCTGGCTTAAAGGCACAGAACATCTCAGCCGTCCAGCTCTGTGGCTCAGCCGGCTCACAGGGACGCTGCCCTCACCGCCACCACATTCCCTCACACTGATGGCATCACGCCGATAGAGCCTGGAGGTCAGCAGTGTCCCTACGTGCCTTGAGAAGACATATGTGAGTCACAGGTGGAGACAAATCACGTGAAAAAAAAAAAAAAGGTCTTGATAAAGTTCCTGGGGGTGAAGGGGTCTGATTAGGCCAGAATATTTTCCCCCATAGTGTAGAACAAGTGACTGCGTTTCGAATCCCTTACCACGAAGACCCAATTCCAGGCAAAAATGCCATGTTAGGGCATCTTGCTCCAACCCACGTGCTCACTGACCCAGAAGGCCACCAGCTTTGGGGTGGGCCCCGAGCAGGTTCTCTGGCAGGGAGAGCCTTTAGTACAAATGCTTCTCCTACCAGGCCACGTGACAGGACAAATGTCGTGCCTGAGGTATCTGTCCGTCTGTGGTGTATTGGGGAACCATGTGGGGCCTGTGGCCCAGCACAGCATAATGATGCTTCTGGCAAGTCCTAACAAGCGTGGCAGGGAACCCAGGGTTCAGAACCAAGTGTTGCTCTGGCCAATAAGTAACTCTTATCCTTTTGAGACAGGGTCCTCCGGCTTGCCACCGGGCTGTGGGGCAGCCTAAATGCTCAGCTACAGCATAGCAAGTGGCCTCCCGAACCGGGTTATCCGAAGCACCCAGCCGTAGCGAGCCATGTCCAGAAGCACTCCATCATTAAGGGGATGCTCTGAAGGCACAAGTGTGGCCGCGTGTGTGAGTGCCTCACTCATCCTTCCACGATGCCCCCTCCTGCCCTGCTCCTCAGCCCCCCCCCCCCCCGGTCTATACCTATCACCTCAAGGGGGCAGGGTTTGTCTTGACCACTATGGGTCCTTCATATCCGGCTTTGCATTGACTTTCCTTCTCCAACATGCCTCTCCCACTGTCATCACCCATGGAATTCTCGAATGCTGTAAACGTCACTGTGGTATCCCCACACAGTGCATTCAACCCAAGGATGCACTTTACAGCAAAAGTAAAGTAATGGGTTGATGCCTGTGGCATTCCCTCATCTTGTCGGGGTCCCCACAGTCCAGAAGCAGTCAGCTTCATGATATGGTGAGATAGTTTGCCGAAAACTCAGTGATGGCCCGGGTTGAGAAACGATACCTTGAAAGGTTGGGCCAGACCCGCAGGATGTCGCATAGGCTCTGAACTGGCAACCGAGTCATGGTATTAGGTCGCTCTCACAGGCTGGGAAGCAGGGTGGAGATGTGCTGTCACCACATCTCATTACTCTTCACATACCTGAGCTTTGGGATGAGGCTTTAGTCTCCAAGGAGACACATCCTCAAAATGTCATAATAATAAGCTGAATTAGAAGCTAAGGCACCTGATCGTTTCAGGCTCCTTAAACCTCTGAGAACACATAACAAGAGGTCGTGGGAGTCGTAAGATGGTTAATGTTATCGAGGGAAAATATTGTCGCTACATAAAAGGAGGCGGGGGCACAGGTGGATGTGGGGTGAGTCCTAGGGTGCCCCCCCCTACTGCCAGGTCCTATGGTAAATAAACGCTCACCACGCAGGCAGGACCACAGAGGAGCTGGACTTCTGAAGTTTTGGGTCACGCCGACGGGCAAAGCATCCCTCGTCATGAACACTAGTTCTCATGACCTATTCTGGAAATGGACTGCAGCCTTTACCCATGCTTCCTTTCTTGCTGGGTCCAAGGACTTGGGTTGAATACAGTTACTTTCACCACTTAATCCACAGGTCGCAGAATTTCAAAATGGAATTATATAAAAGAGAGAAGAGTGTCACTAGTGATGCTGGACTTGGGACAATGGTAGCCCTGGTCACTACCCCTTGGACTTAGTCATCGGATGTGACCTTGAATGGTCTCCCCAAGCAGAGAGGAACTTGTTCTTGGTTGTATGTGAGAGAGTCGTGATACATCGGGTGGGGAAGAACAGTGTGTGTGTGTGTGTGTGTGTGTGTGTGTCTTTGTTGCTGCCACCAAGCCTTTCCTACCGTTCCATTCTCCACCATCCTTCTGGTAAGTATCCCTATGCTTTGGGAAACTGCCGCTGCCCTGCTCCATGATGCCCTGAGCTCTAGGACAGGAATCTGAATCTTGCGTGAAGGGAATCCCATTGGAACCAATGGGTGGTTGGTGAATAGAGTAGCTCTGAAGCTACTCCTCAAAGCCAATCATCAGCTATTCCTTTGGTTCTTGGAGCTGCCCCAACACCTTTCCCACAAACCCCTTCTCCTTGCTTAAGTTGGTCAGAGTCCATTTCTGTGGCGCAAAATCCAAGAAACCTAACGCAAAGAGGCTCCTTTGATACCCCTTCATGTATCTTTGCCTCCAACAGCGGTCAACTCAGGGTTTGGCACAAAGCAGGTGCTCAGTGTACGTCTGTTGAATGAATGGATGAATGAATAATATTCCAACTCTCAGTTCACCAAGGCGGTCTGGATATGCAGACTGGGAGGGTTGGGGGCACACTGGGACAAGAGGAAAAGGTGGGGAGAGTCACCTGAGCACAAGACGAGGTAGAGAGGTCAGAAATGTCAAAACGGAGGGGCACAAATGACAGGCAAGAAAAGGCCTGGGTGGTGGCATGGGGTTGTTTGAGAACAAGAAGTCTCTGCACCTGGGGAAGCAGGAAACGGTCAGCGAGCGGCTGAGAGGCGGATGCTGGTTGTGCCCTGAGCTGGCCTCGTTGCCGTGGAGAGAGCCAGACACACTGGGCATCTCCCCAAGGCCTCCAGCTCTGTTCTTCCTTCCTGGGTTCCTTCCTTTGTGTTCCTCTTCCAAAGGAAGGAACAATTCCAAAGGCCTCAGTCCCCAGGACCCTGTTCAGGGACACAGCCATCAGCCTCGTCGTGCAAGAAGCACAGATTGTCTAGCCGTGGCCACAAAAGGCTGAACGTCAATCCAGGAGCCAAAACCTTGGTTCATCATTCCAGAGGGCCCAGGGGCTGCAGGATCCCCTCAGAGCACCTGCCTGGGGAGAGGGGACCCTGACTCCGTATACCCACAACCACACCAGATAAGGGCAAGCGGGGTACACAGTTGCTGCCTTTATTGCATTCCAAGGGGAGCAGACTAGCACCAGACCCATCCCGCCCCAGGCCTCAAGGAGGGGCCCTCGGGAAGGACCCAGGGTGCTGGGCCGAGCACAGCAGTTCCTCGGGGGCCCCTATGTGAAGCCCAGAGCTGGAGCCCCAGGATCGAGAGCTAATGGCTGGGGGCACACGTCCTGGTTCCCAGGCACAGAGACTCCCCTCCACCCCAGCACGCGGGTGGGCTTCGCCCTTCCTACAACTCCCAAGGGCTTTCCCCCCACCCCACCCCCCGGAGAAGAGCCTAGCCCTCCGGCCCCGGTCTAGAGGGGATGTGAAATTCACTGTGACTGCATCTCCTTTCTGTATGGAGCACAAGGTCCCTCCAAGTCAACACCTTCCCTCTGGCCACAGCCGATGACACAACCCTCATGCCACTTCTCGCCTCACAGGCAAGGGGTCTGGGAGAGGCTGGGGAGGAATCTGGTTGGTGGAGCCCCTGGGCGTGGGGACGCGCAGGGAGGCAGCGGAGGCAGGACGGCGGGCTGTGACAGGGCTCAAAGCTGGGGATGGAGATCGGGGTGCGGGAGCAGAGGATTCAGGGGAGTGAGTGTCTGCGTGCTGGGAGAAGGAAGGGCATGAACACACGTCACCAAAGACCACGGCACAGGAACACGACAGGCTCTGGAAGGGCACTGAGCCCCACGTGGGCTCAGTGACCGGTTAGTTGTAGGACAAGCTGGGAAGAATGAAGCCACGTAGCTGGAAAGAGAGTCACCAGGCCAGACACGGCTGGGGCAGTCTGGAGCCCCGAGGACAGATCGGGGCCAAGCAAAGGAGAAGGGTAAAGGCTGGCCTGCGTGCCCCCAGGGTACAACATTCACCGCAGGGTCCGGCAGGGCGGGGGGGCTGGGTGCGGAGCTCATGCAGAGGACTCGGGAGCCTCCGGCAGTGGCCAGTGTAAACTTCAAGAAGGGCCTGGGCCGCCAGACACTTGGGGCTGCGGTCTGGGAGCCCCGGGTGACGCTGGCACCAGGAGAGGCCACTGGGTGCCACGCACAAAAGCCGTCTGCTGAGGAGCGGATCGAGGAGAGGCTGCCCGGAGAGGCCCCCGAGTGGTGCCTCCCCGGTGCATCTTCCCTGGTTAGTTCCGTATTGGGCAAGTCTCCATCAGTTCAAGCTGCTTCCTTGTTGGTCTGCTGCTGGGCGGAGGCCCCGAGCCTCCCGTGGGGGGCTACCGCATGCCCTGGGCCTTGAGGCCGCCCTCTTGGATGGGAGGCTGTCCCAGTAACTGGGCGGTGAGTGCCTCTGAGGCCTGAGGGGTGGCCTTGGAGCTTGGAGTATTCTTCCGGGTGCCCTGGGGACTGGGGGGGCCTTTCCTCTGGGGCTGAGGACTCAGCTGGGTGCCCTTCCTGCCAGTAGATGGACTCTTGGAGCCTTTGGCCTTGGCTTGAGGGTGGGCGGCCTCGGGGCCCTTGAGGGGTTTTAGCCCCAGCATCTCACAGAAGGTGTTGCACTGGTGGGAAGAGGCAAACTGGTCCAGCAGGGCCGGGAAGCAGCTCTCCTTGAGGCCTTGGTATCTGCAGCCAAACAGGAAGAGCTGAGTGGGAGCTCCCCCCAGAGTGAGAGCCCTTGGGGGGCCTACTCTGGGGTGGCCAGGGCCAGGGTCATGCCCTACCCTTTCAGGGGGGCTGGGAGTCCAGCTGGGCACTACCTCACGGGGCAGCATCCCAAACCTCAATTTTAAACTGAGGCCTCCTTACGCCACGGCACAGGAACTCATCACGTCCATGCTAATCGGTGTGCGGATGACCTACCTTTTCAGTATTAAGTAGAGCAGACTCCACATCACCACTTTCCTCCCAGGGCCCTGCTCATCTGCTCCCCGATGAGCTTTCTCAAGCGAGAAGAAAGAGGAGCCCAGGGCTGCAGGTGAGCAGGTGAGCCTGTGTGCGGGCGTCAATACTGCTGGTCCAGGGGCGCCTGGGGGGCTCAGTCGGTTAAAGTGTCCGACTTCAGCTCAGGTCATGAGCCCCACATCGGGCTCTGTGCTGACAGCTCAGAGCCTGGAGCCTGCTTCTGTCTCCCTTCTCTCTGTCCCCCCCCCCCACTCATGCTCTATCTCTCTCTCTCTCTCTCTCTCAAAAATAAAATAAACATTAAAAATAAGTTAAAAAAAAATAAATTTAAAAAATGCTTCTGGTCCAGACCTGGGGTCAGGGGCATGGGGGTGGGGGACGGTCAGCAGTCCCTGGGACATTACTATACGGCCGCCAGGGCAGCTAGGACCATTAGGCCACAGGCCCCGTACCTCAGGGATGGAGAACCAGAAGACCTTTGACAATTTCACACCCCGAGAAGATTCTCAGAGGGCCTCCTGTCCTCAAGAACCACTCACCCTCGTAGTTTGGTAGCAATCTGCACATCAGTCATCTTCCAATCAACCCCTGGAAAGAGAGAGAGCTGGGACTTGAGCAGCCCGGGCTGGTTCCAGGGCCCCCACCTCTCCAAGATGGGTATCATTCAGCAGGAACTTGCCAGGGTTCAGGGCACGCCATCACCTCTGACCTGTATCACAGGTGGTGTGGGCAACTCTATGTTGTTAGTGGCAATAATATCCCATTCTCACGGGTGAGGAGATAGGCTCAGAGGTAAGGGACCGAAGCAAGGTCACATTCATTCATTCATTTGATAACTGAGCACTGACCATGGGCCTTGGCCACTGAGTCAAAGTAAAAGTTCAGTTTTTCTTACTCCTAGATCCCAAACTCTTCCAGCTGTTCAATCCTGCCTCTGTTGGATCACACTAGGCCACAAACTGGGCTGGCCTCTGGCTTTGAGCTAACCTTTGCTCCTTCCTCTTACCAGATTAGCCTATCTGGGCAAGAGCGAGGAGGCGGAACATGAAAGTCAGTCAGGCTGGACCAGCAGAAAAGTAACACTGGATGAGACTGGGTTCCACGTACTCACACAGACAGCAGGCGAGCATCCACACAGGACTAGAGGAAGGCAGTGTTGGGAGAACAGACACGGAGGAACGGTCCCCACCCTGGCCAGTCCTCCCAGCATCCCAGCGTCCAACGTTAGAGTAGGAACCTCTCCCCACTTTCCAACTGTCTGGTCACACCCTTGCGGGAACCCGCCTGTCACTAGCAGGGCTCAGTGCTGCATGTGACAGAGGGACACACGCGTGGGCCTGAGAGGCGGGCACACCCAGACTGATTTCAGCCCCATCCCTTCCAAGCTGCGAGAACTACCTCCAACCCTCATCTGTAAGAGTGGGGCAACGCTGCCCACCTCGCTGGGGTATTGAGAGCATCATGGGGTGTGCAGGGCTCTGATTTAATGTCTGAAACACAGAGGTCATACAGGAGGCGTTAATCTGTCTGTCATTTCTCTCTCAGGGCCATCGCCTTGCACTCTGCCCCACACTAGCCATGATCCCTTACGTTGGCACAGAATTTCAGTTTGCAGAAGGTGCCCATGGACACCGCCTCACTCAGGCCTCGCAGCCAGTCTGGGAGGCAAGGAGGATACTGTCACCCCTTGGGGGGGAAAGGGTGGTGAAACTCGGGGAGATTAAGGGGCCCACTCTGTCTGTGCTTTGGCTTTCCCTTGGGTTTACAGAGACCAGCAGAAAAGCCATGAGATGTAGACTAAAGCCTAATTTCTCCGACCCCCAGCTCTTCCTACTACATTGCATGATCATCTCGTACTAGAAACTGGTATACTTATCACAGCTTCCTGAGGACAGTAACGATTCCCCATTCGCCTTTTTAGCTTCCCGATGTTGGGTAGATGTTGGATGGATGGAAGGAAGCATGGATGGAGTCAACAGACAGAATGAATGACAATAGCTTAATGTGCTACCAGTCCCCCCCCCCAATATACAGAATTATATATACCACATTTGCAGTGCAGTTCAATCCCAACGAAAAGCACACTTGAGCCGGTTTTCTGTCTCCGGCCCTTGGTTTTCTCACTAATGCACACTGGGGACTAGATGAGGTCATGTGTGATAGTCCCAGCATCCCTCTCCTCCCACTGTAGAGAAAATCTCTTTTCCTCCCCCCTGCCTGGTTCTGGTTAGAGAGTAAGTAGGCCTGGGAAGGACTGATCAGGAAAAGGAGGAGGATTTGTGCTTTGCTGGCCTTTGTTGGAGGGGGATGTCTGAGTAATGGGAGAGATAGAAATAAAAGGAAGCCAGAGAGACTAAGTTGGTTCACGTAATACAGAGCTAACAAAGTAGAGGAGGAAGAGGAGGAGGAGGAAAGGAAGAGAGAAAGGAGGAGGATAGGATGAGGGGAGGAGGGAGAGGGAAAGGAAGGGGAAGAGAGGAAAGGAAAGAGGAGGGGGAGGAGGAGGGGAAGAGGAGGAGGGGAAGGAGGAGGAAGAGAGAAGAGGAAGAAAGGAGAGGAAGGAGGAGTAGGGGGAGGAGGAGGAGGGGAGGAAGAGGAAGAGGAAGAGGAAGAGGAAGAGGAAGAGGAAGAGAGGAGGGGAAGGAAGAGGAAGAGATGAGAGGGAAGAGGCGGGGGAGGAGGGGGCAAGGGGAGGAGGGGAAGGAAGGAGAGGAGGGAGAAGGGGCAGTAAGCTAGTGAGCGAGGATGGAGGGGAGAGTTTGGGAAGTAGGAAGAGGGGGAAAGTCCAGAGCAAAGCTGGAGGGAAAGGAGGACGGGAGATTCTGAAAAGGTGGTTGTGGCGTTTTAATTAGCCCCCACGTAACGTTCTTTGAAATCCATTCCTTTTTCATTTTAACGGGAGCCTGGAGCCTGCTCCTTTATGCCCCTGCCGTTACAGAGCAGGCTGCGCGAGGCCCACCGGGTGTCAGGGCCGCCCACAACACAACACGGCGCCTGTCGCCTACTCCACGAGGTCGCGGTGAAAAGCAAAGGCGAAGAAATAGGAGAGCGCATGCGCCGGCCCCGCCCCCCTGCCGCCCCCATGCACCCGCGCAGGCACACCCACTACGCTCTCCTACCTGCTAGATCCGTGACGAGGAAGCTGCCGTTCGTCCACAGGTAGAGCCAGTGCTGGAAGGTCTGGCATTTCTGCCTGACCTCAGAGCTGCTAGGTGCCTCCGGAGCCGCGGCCGGAGCCGCGGCGCAGCCCCATTCCCGCGAGCAGTAGGGCTGCAGGGGCTTGCCCAGATCCTCCTCCAGGGTGGCATACGGGATATTGTTTGCGGGCCGGTAGATGAGATACAGTGGGAGGATCCTAAACATAGTTCCACTGTGCTGTGAGCAGGAAGTATGGCCCGAGAGACTCCTCCCTCCATCTCAGCTATCTTTACCCTTGGATCGCAAAGGAGGGCCCTTCTGAGAAGGGAATTCTCAGCCCTGACGCCAAAGGACAGAAAGAGAGCGGAGCTCCGCCGAGTTCAGGAAAGGAAATGGGGGCCGTTGGCTTCAGAGTCCTGTCCGTTCTCCGAGGTCAGTGGGGTTAGAACCCAAAGGTGCCATGGCCCCGGGAGGACGGGCTTGGGTGAGGGACCAAGACCAGTATGTGTCAAACGGAAAGGATCACCTCCAGAGAGGATTCGGCCAGACTGCTCAGCGCCAACCAGACCCCGGTATTCGAGTCAAGAGTTCAGGCCTCAGCATGGAAACGATGACCATTTCTAGCTGACTCCTACGAGGCCCTGCACTGACGCTGTCTGCCCACCCAACGGCCCTGGCCAGGGTGCCTGGAAGTCTGGCCTACCCTCTCCCCTTCAGAGAGTCCCAGAATCTGCTGTGCGGAATTCTGCAACCCAGCCAACACTGAGCTAAGGGGTGGAGAGTTCCGCAGAAGAGCAAGCAGAGGCTTTTCTAAAGTGGGCAGTTAATCTGGAGGTGTTTATTTCTAGATTTCGTGGGACCATTGAGCAGAAAGTGGGGTTAGCTGGGGGCCCATTTGCACAAGCCCCCCCACCCCCACCCCCCAGGGGCTGTGAAGTCACTGTTCTGGGCCGAAGCTCCAGTCAACGGGTCTGAGACTGCATGACCCCCTCTCTGTGCACTTACTCGGGCACCTCCCCAAAGCCGGGTGCTGCCTGGGCTTCGGCCGCAAAGATCTTGCAGTACTCCCGACTCATGTTCTGGATCTTGCATCCCTGTGGGTTGAGGAGAACCAAATCTGGTCAGCAAGGAAGCTCTCCTGTTCTCCATCATGTCCGGCTCTAAGTGGGAGGGCCGCCCACCAGAGGACTGCAGGGAGGATTCCAGGCCTGGGGAGGGGGGTGGTTCATGCCCCCCCTGCTCCCTACTCTGCAGCTCATTGTTCTCATTTGCAAAACAAGAGGCCTCAGTCTTGTTTTCAAAGTGGTTTCCAAACTGCGTTTCCTGGAGCCCCAGCCAAAGGTGGCAGGGCCCCATAGGCCACGCTTTGGGGAGTGAGGGAGACCTAGACTGTCCACCCCACCCGGTCACTCTCCTTTCACCTCACACACAGGCTCCCATGCAAGATATGTGTGAGGGTAACAGGAAAGGTTTCTGCTCCAAAAATATGGTTTGAAAACAATGGCCCCAAACACAGAGCCTGGGCTAAGTCTCAGGCTCTCCTCAAGACCCATCCCAGGAGCCTCGTGAGGTTGACACTGAGATGGTCTGTGCCCCACACTGGGCCTCCCAACAGGACCTGAGCCGGGAGGGGGAGGAGGGGAAAGAGCGGAAGGAGGGAAGGGGGATGGGGTGCAGTACCTGGATGGTGACGTCGTAGTTTCTGCCCAGGAGAGAAGTCTCGCTGCTGGGCCCAAACACAAGCAGGCTGGACACCTTGATGATGCACGTGCGGCCTGACTCGAAGATGGGCTCCAGCCCATAGATGACCTTGGCCTGGGAGGCCTTCCGAAGGCCATACCCGTGTCCACCCCCTCGTAGCTCCTCACTCACCAGGCGCCCAAAGAGTTTGTCCCCCCAGCAGCCCGAGTCAGCCAGACCCTTCGCAAACACCATGGGGGTCATCTCAATCTCCTCTCCAACTGAAGGGGAACAGGAAACGTGGAAAACTGGAAGTTCCTGCCCAACTGAGGTTGCCCTCTTCTGCAGGGCAGGAAGAGGCCAGAACCATCTCCTGCCCACCACGCTGGCGCGCCCACTCTCCATGCATTCCTGCTCTTGGGGTGTATGCACACCATGGGTCCCAAACCGGACCATGAACCCCCGAGGGCAGGACTGTGTCTGACACAACCCCCATTGTGTAACAGTGTGTGAGTGTACCCACACATCACAAGGACTCTGTCAGTGTCTGGAGGGGAGGGGGGGTTCCGTGGACATCACAATTGGTACGCGATACCAGAATTCCTTTATTTTGGAATTAGGTGTTTTGCTCAAATGAAGAAATGTCTCCATCTCAAGCAACATGTTTGACTGGAACAGAAAGTCTGCAGGACCAATCCAGCCCTGGCGCTCAAACTGTGATCCCTAAAAACCATTTCCCTCTAAAAGGAACCAGAGCTCCCTAAAGAAACAGTTGATTCCAGGTCTGTCTGTGGCAGGAAGTATACTCGACGGACCTGACCTACCTTGTCCGACCAGAGAGCAAAGAAGCTACAAAAATGACTGGAGGCCAACCTCCAAGAAGGACACAGGAGCCAACCTCCCAAAGGGGCTTCCATCGGCCCAAATCAGACAATCTTACCAACTAAACACAATGGTTTGTACAATGTGGTGAACGTACCAAATATGTTTTAAAAATATTCATAATTGTAGTTTAAGAAATATTCATTCCTCCCTCAAAAAACCCCTCGATCTCACTGGTGACCTTTGGGGAATGCTAGGACACCGTCTCAGGGCAACCAAATAGCAGAAGAAATCAACTGATGAATGAAGAAGTGACAGAATTAAGATACTCTAGCTGTAAATCCTAATGAAATAATGGATTTAGGTAATAATTGGTAATTGCAAAAACCCCTAGGTAACAAGTATCCGGTACAGTTTTTAAACTCTTCCAAAGGACAGATCAGGCAGAAACAACTGAATGAAGGCAGGAATCAATCTTAATGTTACTAAAGTATGACAAGCTTTCTGTGCCTCCAGAGAGGATGCAAAAAGAAAGACACGGCACGTCTGTGAAGTGTTCTTACCCCCTCTCCCCAAAAGTGCACGTGAATCTGATCAAGCTCTTGCTCTAATTACAAGTTGTTGTTGTTTTTTTTTTAATGTTTATTTTTGAGAGAGAGACAGAGTATGAGGGGGGGAGGGGCAAAGGGAGGAAGACACAGAATCTGAAGCAGCTCCGGGCTCTGAGCTGTTAGCACAGAGCCCGATGCGGGGCTCGAACCCACAAACCAAGAGATCATGACCTGAGCCAAAGTCGGGACGCTTAACCGACTGAGCCATCCAGGCGTCCTGATCTAATTATAAGTTTAAGGGAAGCACATG